ATCGCGCAGGCGCTGTATGCGTCCTGCGCATGCGTGGAAGCGCAGAACTCATCAAAACCGGGTAAGAAGCGTGGGCGGGCGGCTGGGCCCTTCGCCGTTCCGGAAGTTACTTACTTCCGGGTTCGCCAACCAACCGGTTCGCAGGGACTGCCGCAAACCAGTTGAAACCCACCCCTGCCGTACTTTCAACCATAACTTTGAACAGTTACTGAACAAATAAGCACAGGCCGAGGTCTACCTATACACGAAGGCATCCATCTTTAGGAAGGCCAAGAAGAGTTTCCATGCTTATGTTTTCTACTGTTTTAATTACTGGGTAGGGGTATGATTTGCATTCTCTAAGGGATATTTGCAGGTCACAGTCAGTTACTGTCAGTACTCTATTACTCTTGGATCACTGACGGACCAGGTTACAGGGAGATCATCACAGAGAAAATCTAACTATGTTGTTGCCAAGACTTGATACATAATCAATCAGCTAATGAGCTGGGATATCTGGGATCTGTAGTGAAACAGACAGTAAACCTCTATCCCAAAATAGAGATAAGTTTAGTAAAGGCCCAAAGAAATAGTTTTTGTTGTTGTTGTCAGCGGCGAAGTTGTGTCCGATCCATCACGACCCCACGGACAATGTTTCTCCAGGCCTTCCTGCCTTCTACCATCCTCCCGAGTCCATTTAAGCTCACGCCTATTGTTTCGGTGACTCCATCTCATTCTCTTTTTCCTCTTCTTCTTTTGCTCCCAGTCTTTCCCAGAATTAGGCTCTTCTCCGGTGAGTCTTTTCTTCTCATTAGGTGGCCAAAGTATCTGAGTTTCATCTTCAGGATCTGGCCTTCTAAAGAACAGTTAGGGTTGATGATCTCCTTTAAGACTGACCAGTAAGTTCGTCTTGCAGTCCAAGGGACTTGCTGGAGTCTTCTCCTCCAGCACTAGTTCAAAGGCCTCAATTCTTTGGCGCTCAGCCTTCCTTATGGTCCAACTTTCACAGCCATCCATTGCAACTGGGAAAACCATAGCCTTGACTATACACACTTTTGTTGGCAGGGTGTAAATAATAGGTTTAGTAAAGCACAGGCATCCTAGCATGCTGTGGCTGTTTCCTCACATCCTTCCTCTGTTCCACTGACCTGTCAGCTGTATTTGGACACATAATTTCACTAGAGCTATGTTAAGAACGATCCCAAGCGATCGATTACTAAAGCAAAGTATGAAAATATTACTAAGTATTGCCTCAGGTGTATAGACAGCTGAGTGACCTTGAACCAGTCTCTTTCTCTCTCTCTCTTAGGTCCAGGAAGGACGCATTGGCGAGCCACTTCGGAAAACTTTGCCAAGAAAATTGCAGTCATCCGGAGTCAAAACTTACTAACACACTGATTAACACACACCCAGTTGTGGATTATTTCCCATCTCCCGCCCATACGATAAACTCAGATCCTACCAAACTTTCTGAACAAACAGGTTCTCCTTACAAAGGACGCCAGAGACCCGACAAGCATTAGCGCTCCAGATCCCCTCAAGAACGAACTCCGGATCCCCGCAAGAACGACAGAGAGAGAAGGGTCTGCGGATCCGTCCAGGCATCCAAACGGCGGAAGGCAACATTACAATGTGCAAAGCCACGCGTCAGAGGACGAGACGTCACCTCTGGGGAGGCGAAAGAGAGCAAGGAAGAGAAGAGAGCCGAAAGCGAGCCGGTTGGTAGTGCGAATTATGAAGCGTGGCTTATTTTTTAAAGCCGCCTGTTATTTTTCTAGATTTGGTGAAAAAGAATACTTGGAACCCTCTGATGTATCAGCCCTAAATTTGCTCCGCTGTCGTTGACAGTCCCGTCTGGTTGCCACTCCTTTCAGTCGTTTCCCCCCCCCCCCCAACTTGGGCACTTTAAAATGAGTGGACTTCAACTCCCAGAATTCCTCAGCCAGCACTTCTCCGGTGTGTTTTGCTGGGGAATGCTGAGTGTTGTAGTCTACCCATCTTAAAGGGCCAAAATTTTAAAAATAAAACATTGCTTAGTTTAGATGGTTGCCTTTACCCACAGGCTTCTGCTAGTTTTCAGGTTATTGTTATCGATTCATGATTCTCCACTGCAGTAAGAGGAAAACATAGATTAGAGTAGAAGCGAGCCTGCCTATAGAAATCAATGGAAAAATTAGAATGTTACAATAGTATTTATGATTATTAGTGACTGTCCAATTAAACTGTAGGGTCAATTTAATCTGGGTCTCTTTTTCCCTATAACATATTGCTTCTTTCCTCTGCATTTGAAAATACCAGTCCAGTATCGACTGATTTCAATTGTTCCCAAAAGTGTCAGGGTGTATTTGCTGTGTGTGGGAACTTGACACTGTTCAAAACCATGATCTGTCCCACTTATCGAGAAATGCCTTATTTCTAACTGGAACTGTTCAGGCAGTCCTCAATTTACAACCACAATTGAGGCCAAAATTTATGTTATTAAGTGAGAATTTGTTAAGTGAGTTTTGTCCCATTTTGCAACCTTTCTTGGCACAGTTTTTAAGTGAATCGCTGCAGTTGATAAGTTAGTAACCCAGCTGTTGTGAATCTGGCTTCCCCATTGACTTTGCTTTCAGAAGGTCGCAAAAAGTGATCACGTGAACCTGGGATGCTGCAACGGTCATAAATATAAACCAGTTGCCAAGCATCTGGATATTGATCACATGATCATGGGGAATGCTGTAAAAACTGTGAAACACAGTCATAAGTCTTTTTCTTTTTCAGTATTGTAACTTAGAACGGTCACTAAATGAACTGTTGTAAGTCGAGGACTATATATTGTACACATTTGAACCAGGCTTTCCTCTACCTAAATTGCAAGATTTTGATTTCAAACAATCCTCAAGGAATGACCAAATTTAGAAGGGAATTCTAAATTCTAAAATCACGAAGTGATTTTATTTTTACTTTTTTTTCCCTGAGGAAATCGGAACTCTGCTTTTGTGGACCTCTCTTCTACTTTCGTATCTCTATCGGCTGGCTACTCCCGGCGTGCTGAGAGCTGAAGGAGGGGGCGCGTGGCGGCGGCGGAAGGTATATAAGCGCGGAGTGGGAGAGGGGCGCGAGAGGGGCTGTGCGGGGAGGGGGGTTTCGGCTGGCTTCGGCGCGCCTTCCCCGGCCTTCCCCCGAAAGAGGCTCATTGGCCGGCAGAGTGGACGGCGGGTGGTAGTGGCGGTGATACACCAGAACTCGGAGATGGAAACCGAGGAGCCAGGGACCAGGTATTCGCGGGGAGGGGGGGATATTAACGCTGCTGGGGAGGAAAGGAACGGCAACACCCACCCACCCCCGGTGGGCGCTTTCCTGTCGCCGGGTTGGCGGTTACTACAAAGGGCTTCCGGCTGAGCTCCAGAGGAAGGCCGAAGCCTGGATTTCCTGGGTTTTTAGGAAGGGAATTTTTTTTTTTACTGGATCTGGACCGCAAAAGTCCGGACGATCCTCAAAGGGAGGGCAGCCTATTCTCCTCGTTGGCTTCCATTTCTTTGCTGCTCTGGAAGGCGGCAGATGATGATGATGGTGATGATGATGATGATGATTCGCACCAGCAGCCAGTTGTTTAGACTAGATTTTGCAATTATTATATAATTTATTCGTTAAACATGAAACTTATTATTATTATTTCTTTTATTCATTAAACATGAAATTCAGTCAACTGAACATTTAAATATGTGTCACAAATACCATTGACTGGTGCTAATGGTCGATACGGGTTGCTGCCAGCGTCTTAGGTATCAACCAACTATCTTCTTAAAATGTATTCTGTTCCTAGTAACAGTTTTTTGCAGTTCCGATGGAAGCTGCAATTTCTTTCTGTTTTGTAAAATTCTTGGACATGGTACCAAGTGCCCCGATGACAATGGGTATCACTGTTACATGTTTCAGCCTATTATTATTATCATTATTATTATTATATACTTTATTCATTAAACATGAAACTCAGTCAACCGAACATTAAAAAATGCATCACAAATACCATTGACTGGTGCTAATGGTTGACATGGGTTGCTGCCAGCATCCTCAGTATCGACCAAGTATCTTCTTAAAGTATACTACTACTACTACTATTATTATTATTATTATCATCATCATCATCATTATCATTGTTATCCTTTCATCAAGATCTTCCCTAGGATCTGGGATAGGCAGATGTTGTTTAATAATATTGGGATTGTCACAAGATGGAAGCTTATACAGGTAGAACTGCCCAATGCCAATGGATAGAGGGGGATTTTGTCAATTGCTAATAATGTTCAAAATGTTTTGGAATTGCACCTAAGGCATCTTATTACTTGTTGGTACCATCTTTGCTTTCTTTTGCCACAGTCTTTTTATTTGCAGGTCTTTATCTCCAATTCTTTCTCCTCTATAGTATTTTATAGCAAAATCCACCATCCAAACTTGTTTTGTCTTCTTTATCAACATGGTTAAGCCTGCAAGCTTTGAGCGGCAGCTGCTTGTCTATTTGAATTCTAAAGTCCCAGAGTACCCCAGCTTCTTCATTCTCGATAATTTTGTCTGTTTTGTGGTCCTACCAGTTCTTGCTTGCAAACAAATCCTATTTCTTGAAAATGTTCCAATGTATCCTTGTTCTACTTTGCCAAACCATTTTTGTAGTCATTTTGCAATTTTCTTGCAGCATTCAACTAGGTGGCTCATCCCTTCTTCAGCTTCTTTACATTTGCTGTCTGTTGCTGTCTTCTCAATTCTAGTTTTATATGCATTTAGTCTTTTAAGGCTTAAGCCAGAATTAGCCCCTCTGTGAAAAAACTTCACTGCTGTTAGCCATTGTCAGGTCTTATTGTTAATCTGTTTTGCTTACTAGTTGTTTTTTTTTTAAGTACTTACTGGCCATGTAATACTGTGCCTTGCCATGTCTCCTTTCTCTTCTTCATTTGGTCTTTCTTCAAGGCCAATTTAATCTCTGGTATTCAGTAAGCCTTCATGGTGTACTAAGTTCAATGCATCATCTTCTATATATTTTGCCAGTGCTTTTTTTTCTTTACCTGTCTGTTGTACTTGCAACATTCCATGGTCATCTATGCTGTTTGATAGAGACCGTCAACTTTGTTGTGTGATTGAAGGACATGATTTATTGTAGTTATTTTTCTGGGCTTCGTATTCTGGCCTTCTATTTTAGCTTGAGTCCAGTCCACTATTCCAGGTGTGTGCATGTGTGTTTGTGAGAGAGAAAGAGGAGCAAGTGAGGGCAGGGAGATTAGTTTTTAAAGAAAGCTACTGTTATCACTTTATTGTGATATTACAGTAATGCATTGAAAATCACTGTAAAATGGTTTAAGAATGGGATAAATATCTGACAAATGGTCCCTGTAAATCTTGATAACATTTCAGATTTGCTTTCAAATGATAAAACCAGAGCTTACGTTGTATTGCGGATGAGAACTCATTGTAAGAAAGATAAAATATAAAATGCCATCCACACCAGACATACAGCTCTCTATGGAATCAGAACATCTACTGAAGGTTTATTCAAATGTGTTCTTTTAAAGATGTTCTTTTAAAGAGTTTATTTAGAAAACAAACACTTCTCTGGGAGATATTTTTAAGATAAGCTAATATGGATGACACTTTACTTTCCACTAAGTATCCTACTTAGGGATGCAGTCAGAATGAAGAAAAAAAGGTTGACTTATTGCTGGGAATCTTATAATTCATTCTTCAAGTTGGCATTCTGATGTACTTAGATGATAGTAAGTTTAAAATTTAAGGTTCAGCAGAATTACTCCAGTTCAGAAATTTCAACTAAAGAGCACAGATCTGTGAATACAGTTCTGGATAAGAATGTTTGACCTTACATGATTCTTACTAGCTTGATTAATAAGAAGCTTTGATCCTATTTTCTTTATCCATACATAAATTGGTGGCAGGAAGTTTTGCTCTTCCTTTCCTGCTTTGCACACTTGGATATCTCTGCTTGCAGAACTTTTATTTTATAACTGCTTGGATTGGTGTAAATCATTGTACATGTTCATTGTCTTTATTTCTTAATACCTGATAAAATGCTCATAAGTTATGTAAGTAAGAGCACACTCCTATAAGTAGCACATTTTTAAATTAATTTCAGGAATCCATTCTGAAGGTAGTCCTTGACTTACAACAGTTTGTTTAGTGACCAAAGTTACAACAGAACTGAAAAAAGTAACTTATGAATATTTTCCTCACTTATGACCATCACAGCATCTCCATGGTCATATGATCAAAAGATACTTAGCAATTGACTTATATTTATGACACTTGCAGTGTCCCAGTGTCACATGATCACCTTTTGCGAACCTGACAAAGTCAATGGGGAAGCCAAATTCACTTAACAACATTTTTTTGAGATTTTTTTTTTTTTGAGATTTTT